TGTTCTGAAGGTAATGGTCAGGTGTTGTGAAGGTAATGGTCAGGTGTTGTGAAGGTAATGGTCAGGTGTTGTGAAGGTAATGGTCAGGTGTTGTGAAGGTAATGGTCAGGTGTTCTGAAGGTAATGGTCAGGTGTTGTGAAGGTAATGGTCAGGTGTTGTGAAGGTAATGGTCAGGTGTTCTGAAGGTAATGGTCAGGTGTTCAAATCAAAGGGGGTGAAAACATACGCAAGCACTACTTTTTAAGCTTTGACAAATTCTGAATGCTAAATAAAAAAAAACTAATTTGAAACTGCAATAACTCTGCCATTTTAGGACATATTGCACCAAGAGGCAAGCCTTTTCACTGTCTCCAGGAACTATTGTAGTTTTAGATTTTTTATTTATGTAAAGGACAATTTCCAACATTTAGCTTCATTAATCTAGAATATCCTGAGCAGGCTGTCTACTTAGACTCAAAATAAAAATCCAATAAACTCCAGGTTGTAAGAAAACAACATAAAACTGCTGCCATCCAAACTTATTTAGATGTGTTTGTGAGAACAGTCCCACTCCCTACCTGTCCTCAGGAGCAGCTCTTTGTCCTCAGCATCAGTGAATATATACGTCTGTAAGAAACAAAGATACAGTTACACCAACAGACGCTGCAGGATACACACCTCCCTGTGACTGAATGCTTAGAACAAATGCTAACAGTATGATGCACAAAGGAGAAAGAATAAAAAACAGATTTTTATTGGTTAAAGGTGCATGTACAATATAACTTTTAGAAATTCACACACATTTAGAATCCGAATCAGATCTATTGTCATTCCACACACAACATCATCAAAAACACACATAACAAACATGTGTAATTTATATTTGATTGTTCTTATTGTGCAATGGTAAATGAAATCCTCCTGTTTCCTCACACACAGTCACTGAGTGTCACTTCAGGAAACACTTGGTCCTAAACAGGGACTCAGTGGATGAGTTCAATCATAAACTGTGGTGAGAAAACACTTGTGGTGCAAAGACAAAGGAAAGAAATGACCTGCTGTGTAAAAGCCTAAAGAGATGTCCTGATAATAATCCAAACAACCGTACCACAGTATGGATAATCAGATTATAACTCAGATTATAGCTCAGACTGTTGCCAACAACATTTATGACAACAAGATTGAATCCCCCGGACCTCTCTGGCAACAAGATGCAGATCTTCCTGTAATTAACTCAACATGAAAGCACTTCAGGAAACACGCTGATAAACTCTGAATCTGACAGCAGCTGCAGTTAGCCCAACTGTAAACCATTTTATTTTTATGTGTGCTGTGGTTTAAACTGGGTGTGTTCAGTGATTAGAGACAACTGTAGCCCAGTGGTAAGGTGGGCTTTTACATAAATAAAATACTGGACTAAAGGCCAGAGCGTGCCTTGAAGAATGTATATCACCTCCATCTTTGATGACAGAGTTACAGTCAAACATGTGACGACCCAGACTCCATCCAATCACGTTAGCCTGAGTCCTGTTTGACAGTTTATCCTCATTCCTACAACTTCACTTTGTACACATGTCAGAAATTAAAATAAAAAATAAATCCCAAGCCTGAAACTTTTTTTGTGGTGGTGATAGAAATTAAATCACAACATATTGATACTCTTGCCAATCTTCTGTGCAAAAATCCACTCTTTAAATCATAGATTCTTAACCTTATGTTCCTGGGCCACAGCACCACCTTGAGGGCCTCAAAAGAACAACAGTTTTTAACTTTGGGCCACAGAGGGCCGTGGGACCACATTGATTTTGAATAAGGTGTAAT